TGCTATGTATCAGAGAGCTGGACAATGACTAAGGATGACAGAAGAAGAATAGATGCCTTTGAGTTGTAGTGCTGGAGAAGAATATTAAACATACCATGATCGCCAAGAGAAGGTAAAATCAAGTTTCTCCTTGGAGGCTAGGATTTTTAAGCTCTACCTCACATGCTCTGGGCATGTGGCCAGGAGGGAATGGTCCTTGGAAAAGGACATAAGGCATGGAAGGGTGGAGGAACAGCTCAGGAGAGGAAGACCCCGGAAGAGATAGATTGACACAGTAACTGGGGAAATGGGAGTAGGTATGTTGGAGTCTGTGAAACTGGCTCAGGATAAGGCAGGCTTCAGAGCCATTGTACACAGGGTCACTATGAGTCGCAGGCAACTCAATAGCACAAAACAACAACAACATTGAAGAACTTATTTAAAAAGTCAGACAAAATATTATTGCTCTACTAGAAGTAAAACAGTGACTAACAGGTAGGTAATCTTTGTCCATAACACAATTTCTATCTGTTGTTGTTGTTATGATGTGTCGTCGAGTTGCTTGTGACTCATAGCGACCCTATGTACAACAGCCCTAAACTCTGTTCTGTCCTGTGCCAATCGCACTGTCTCTGACACTCCCATCCCAATTACCCCAGTCACTGAATCAATCCACCTCATAGAGGGCCTTCCCCTCCTGTGCCTGCCCTCTACCCTCCCAAGAATGATGTCCTTCTCCAAGGACTGATCTCTTCTTACCACATGTCCAAAGTATGTTAGACGGAGCCTCAGAATCCTTGCCTCCAAGGAGACACCCAGTTTAACCCTTTCCAGGATGAATGTTTGTTTTCCTAGCAGTCCATGGTACGCTCAATACTCTTCTCCAGCACCACAGCTCAAAGGCATCCATTCTCTTTCTATCCTCCTTAGTCATTGTCCGACTTTCTGATGTATAAGAAGTGATAGCAAAGACCATGGCCTGTATCACACACACCTTAGTCTCCAAAGAGACACCATTGCTCTTCAGTACTTTGGAGAGGTCCCTAACAGCAGACTTTCCCATGGCAATACACCTTTTGATTTCCTGGCTACTGATGCCAAGAGTGTTGGCTGTGGAGCCAAGCAAACTAAAGCTGTGGACAATCTATCTGTAAATCTGATTAACTTTTTAACAGTATAGAAAAGATGCAGAAGATAAACATGGTATTGTTTTTATAGTGCAAGTCAAAACAATAATATGGAAAACATTTAAAATGAAATAAATGATATAAAAGTTAACATAAAAAATGGATGAAAACTGTTTAGCTAAATATTTCAAGACTACTTTTATACCCAGCAGTACATGGCAGTATGATACATTATGATTTAACATTGAGACTTAAAATATGTTATCCTTTGATAATGAATATTCAGCATCACTAAATAAATAATTTACATATTATTTCTGAATGACATGAGTAAATACTTTATCTTAAAAGAAAACCAGTTTCGGCGAGCTCTGGTGGCCTAGTGGCAAGACGCTGCATTGCAATCCCAGAGGTGTGCGGTTCAAATCCACCAGATGCTTTGCTGGAAAAGAAGGAACAATCTCCTCCTGTACCAGTCAAATCTGATTTGACGGTAGACACACACACACACACACACACACACACACACACTAAAATTTTTTTTTTAAAAAAAAAAGAAAACCAGTTTCTGGTCACCAATAACTATGTCCTAACAGAAAAAATTTCTGAAAGTTTAATAATAGAAAAACATTATCCAAACTTACTCTTTAAGTTCTTTTTAAGACTCACTGAACTTTCAAATCATATTCACTTTTTATTTACAAAATTAAGAGAGGCAAGACTTTATGTTCAGTGTCAAAATTTATACATATTATTTCAGCTGTTGTCTTTTAAAGTTAACAAGCAAATTTTGTGAAGCCTGTTTCATCATGCTACCTACCCATCTATCTGGAAAAGAAAATCTTGTAAGAGCAGAACAGGCATGATGTATATATGCCAAAGAAAGCTCTGAGATGTACCTTTTTTATCTGTATTTCTTCGGAGTAGTCTATCCACCTGAGAAATAGCCTCTTCCCAACAATTGTTGCTTGCTTGTACATGAGGCTGAATCAACTTCATTTTCTGTTCTAGCAGTTGGTAAGACTCTGACACTAGTTCTTGTGTTTCTTTAGTACAAACAAGCTTTTCAAGTTCATCTTCAAGAATTATTACCCTGAATAATAAAGAAAAACAAAAATAAATTTCTAAAATATAGAATAAAAATTTCCAGTTCACAATGGTTGTTTAAAGCACAATATCAGAAATAAAATTTTAACTACCATTTTATTTTCATTTTAGAGATGAGGAATCAGATCTAGAATTTTAAGAAACTTGCCCACATTCACACAGGTGGCAAGCTATGAAGCTGGGATGAATTCAAGCAGGCTCATATGGAATTTCTATATTCAGCCTTTTGAGGACATGCCAAACTGCCTTCTAGAATGGTTGTACCATTTTACAATCCCACCAACAATGTATGAGAGTTCCCATCTCGCTATATCCTCTCCAACATTTATTACTTGCTGCCCTGTTATACTTTGCCTCTGCTACTGGAGTGAGATGGTATCTCATTATGCTTTTGATTTATATCTCTCTAATTGCCAGTGAGTATGAGCATTTCTTCATGTGTGTCTTTGCCATCTGAATTATCTTTCTCTGTGAAAATTCATTCCATGTCTTTTGCCCATTTTGTATGATCAATCTTTTTCTTGTGGAAGCCCTGTAGGATTTTTACAGCATTATTCACCATTGCAAGAACATGGGAACAGCCCAACTATCCAACTACATTAGAATGGATTGAGAAATTATAGTACATTCACATGATAGAATACCATGCAGCACGCAAAAGCAATGATTTTGTAAATTACCACCTAACTTGGAAGGGACTGGAGAGCATTATGCCAAGTGAATTAACTCAGTCCCCTAGGATAAATATTGTATAAGAACATTGAAAAAAAAAAAGAAAGAAAGAAAGGATAATACCAGAGACCAATGTAGAGTATGTTATGAGAATTCAGAAGGTGGAAGCTACTATGAGCAATGGGAATAAGTAAGGAATGACTACAAAAGAGGTACTTATGGGGTAGCCTAGAAAGATGGATAAAATATGAGCATATACAAAAAGATGAGTAAGGCCATTCAAGACAGAACATTTGAAAAGTTATTTATTGTTCAGGTGAACTGTAAGAAAAGAATGAGATGATAGGTTATAGCAAATCCTTTCTACAAAGTGTTTTATATACACTTTGGTCTAAGATACTATACTTCAAAATCAATAGAGATTTTTGACAGGGAAAGCAAATACATGCTTTATCATTTTTTTGCAGTGAATAATCTGGAAGCAAAAAGAAGAGTTACAGTGTCCATGCACTAATTTAGGCTAGGGATAATAAATACATTTCTGTATAAATAATGAGAGTTGCAGTAGCAAAAGGGAGAAGGGAGAGGTAGAATAAAACAGAAAAATACTGTTTTAATATATGAAAGGAAAACAATGTTTAGGTAATGCTTTTAAAAGTTGTGGCTATGCCAGTTTATGACTGGTAGAATATTTACAAAGGTGACATATAACGGCATAGACAGAATATTTTATTCCTTAGTAAGAAAAATACTTCTTATGCACAAACTACAATTCCTGCCTAAAACCCCTTTCCTTTTCATTTTAACATCCATCAAGTGGAGCCTTCTTCCTTTCCTAAGCCATCTCTTCCTCATTCTAATTTACTATGATCTGCCTTATATAGATTGTACTGTTAAGAATACTTTGGTGAGTAGCAACAGGAGTCTTAAAAGCTTGCAAGTAGCCATCTTAGTAAGCTGCAGATATTGGTCTGTCCCTGTCTGAAACAAAGAATAAGGAAGAAAAGCAAGGATGAGCAGAAACAATTAGTCCAAAGGACTAACAGGCCACAAGAACACCAATGTCCATGATTCTGAGACCAAAAGGAATAGAAGATGGCATCTGGCTACCACTGTGGACAATCTAAAAGGGATCACAGGAAATCCTGGATCAAGTAGGGGAAAATATACAATAAAATGTAAAACTACAAATAAAAGTTAAGACTGACTTATTCAACAGAGATTGATGGAACCCCTAAATTCATTGCCCTTATCATATTTAAAATACCATAATGGTTACCCGTTATGTACAACGGTTTGATGAGCTTCCAGACTGATTAATTTTGGGAAGCAAGAGTGGCATCCACTTTCTAAACTAGATGCCTCAGGAAACTCTATAAAGTCTTATAAATGTACTGAAATGATATTAATCATAGAACAGAGTTCTGGACTTTTGTGCAAAGCTTACTCTGAGTCATATTCGACTTGACAACACTTAACCACTGCTAAATGCGACTAGTGTTGTTATATTTGGAGGAACATTCTTCCACTTTGTACATCACTCTTTGTTGATGTGCTATATGAGGTAACCTGGGTTTGCTATGATGCTGAATCTTGTGCCATGTGGGTGTCAAATACCAGAATGCTTTCCCATTGTGGACAGTGTTTGGTGAAGCTCCCAGTTGTAAAACAGGTTGGAAAGCAGGAGTGGCATCTACTTCCTAAACCACATACCTCTGAAAACTCTATGAACTTGGAGAAGCAATGATAGCTATGGAAAGGCTTTAGGTGTTTTGTTCATAGAGTCAAACTGATGACAATCAACAAGAAGTCACATTTCAAACTTGGAACAAAACATCTTTTGGCTCAAGTCGTAGCCAAACAAACACACACAGCATAAGATGAACAATAACAACAGGTAAGCACTTACATCTTAGAATATTTAACCAAAGAAGGTCCAAAGAGCAGCATGTGCCCAAAGATAAAGACCAGAAGACAGGAAAGGGTAAGCTAGAAGATAAAAAGGATTCATGGAAATGAGATTATAGGGAGGAAATGGGAAAGGTGCCATTACATGGTGAGTATTGTAATTTAAACAAAATGTGTTTGAATGGTTGAATGAAAAACACATTTTGCTTTGTAAACTTAAGAACAATTTTAAAAACCAAATCCCTAATACCTTAGACACTCTAACTCTGCTTAATGTAACCTATTTGCAGAATCTTGTTTTCCTCTGATGATCATCCTACTTTAAGCACCCACTCACTGGCACACAACAGATAGGGACTACCTTATCCTCCATATTCCTGTGGGAAACAAGACTGAAAATCAGGCTAGCTAGTATTCATCTGCTTTCTTAGAAGAGCAGCTAGAGAACACCAGGATGTCCCTTTCTCATTTTGTTAATCTTTCCTATGTTCAACTTTTATATTAATCGTACATTTTAACTGATGAATAAAAATGTTTTTCTGATTTTAACATACAATCCTCACATATTGTATCTTAACTCATTCCAATAAACTAGCTTCCTGGTTTACTCACCAACAATGGAGTATCTTACCAAATAGGATTGACTGATGCCCTGTCCCTCCTTCTTCTTGCTTGCTATCCAGGGTCAAGTACATCTTTTCTAATTGTATTAGATTATTAAATTCCTCTGCCCATTCTTCACATCCATCTTGTGGGTTGCCAACAAAGCATAACTCAATCATTCATTCTGTATGGTCTTGCTCTGTGAAGGGAGTTCTGGTGGCACAGTCCATAGAGAGAGTGTACTGCTAACATGAGGTTAGCAGGTCCTCAAGAAGAAGAGGGCAGCCTCTTCACATTATAATCTACTGTCTCACAGACACAACGGAAGCTCAATATGAGTGGGAGATGACTTGATGGCAGTGAGTTTTATTCCATGAGTATCTGTCAAAAAAAACCTCACCAGAACCTTATTGTATTCAAACACTGTATGCCAGGATTCAATTTTTATGAAAAAGCACTTTCTTTTTTTGCATATCAAGGTAGAAAATAAAATTTTTATAAGTAGGGCAGAGTAGGTGTGTCAGCAGAAGTCGAGGCCAGGCAACAGAGAGGTGACTCGCGGCAATAGCTTCTGACAGACCTACAGGTACAAAGCCCCAAGGTGGAGCCAAAATAGGTCGGGCCCGAGGGCCTATACAGGAGTTCTATAGGACACATCACCTACCCTTCCTAGACAGTACAACTAAACTCAAGAGACACTGGACACAGCATAAAAAATTTTTTTCAGCAGTTGATGTGTTCAGAGTCACAGAAGCCAAGAAAGCTTCAGATACAAGCGGTCAGATCATGGGCCAGACAATGGAAGATAAATTCTGAAGGGATTTGGTAGAAGTGAATGGGTATCCTGGTGGAGGGTGGAGCCGGGAAATAAGTGGGTCAAGACACTGGGCTGAGGGCAGGGACACTCCACAATGAGGGATTTATCTTTCACTGCTCTACATATTGCTTGTCTGTCAGATACTCCTCTAAATCTAAACATTCAGATTAAGACAGACTAGGAAGAAGAATTGGCCATTCACTTCTGAAATAGCAGGCCTCTGAAAACCCTAGGTACAATTTGAGCTGTGGTGCTGGAGAAGAGTATTGAATGTACCATGGACTGCCAAGAAAGCAAACAGATTCATCCTAGAGAGGGTTAAACCAGGCTACTCCTTGGAGGCAAGGATTCTGGGGCTTCGTCTGACATACTTTGGACATGTTGTAAGGAGAGACAGGTCTTTGGAGAGGGACATCATGCTTGGTAGGGTGGAGGGACAGCGCAGGAGGGGAAGACCCTCTATGAGGTGGATTGATTCAGTGACTGGGGTAATCGGGGTGGGTGTGTCAGAGGCAATGCGATTGGCACAGGATAAAGCCGAGTTTAGGGTTGCTATGAGTTGCAAACAACTCGATGGCACATAACAACAACAACAGGTCAGAGTATGAATAAATGATGAATGGCCAAATGGAAGATCAACAAATATAAACTATGGCCCTACATTTTAGTATTTAATATAAAATTGGGGCCATAAAGCTTATCTTGTGCTACAGCTAAAATGTCCAAATCTGCAAAAATGTATTTAATTATTACCTGAGGATCATAACTATGTATATTTTCAATCACAGTCATGCTCATGTAAGACCTATACTTGGACCAGGAGGCAGTCATCAGAACGGAGCAAGGAAACACAGCATGGTTCAAGATCAGAAAAGGAGAGTGTCTGGAATGTGTCCTTTTTCCATACCTTTTCAATCTGTATGCGGAACACATCATTTGGGAGACTGGACTTTGAGGAGGAATGTGGCATTAAAATTGGAGGAATACTCATCAACAACATGCGTTATGCAGATGTCACAACTTTATTTGCTGAAACTGATGAGAGTCTAAAGCATCTGCTGCAAAGGGTTAAGAACTATATATTGTCTGCAATATGGATTGAAGCTCAACATTAAGAAAATGAAGATTCTCACCACTGGGCCAATGGAAAGCATCATGATTAGATGGAGAAGAGATTGAGATTGTTAATAATTTTTGCTTGTTTGGCTCCATAATCAACACTCTAGGCACCAGCAGTCAAGATATAAAAAACTAATTGCATTGTGAAAATCTGTTGTCAGAGATCTTCCCAGAGTGCTGAAAAGCAATGATGTCACCAGGCAATGGATGACACAATTATGAATGGCTGTGTTATGCATCAGAGAGCTGGACAATGACCAAAGAGGAAAAAAGAACTGATGCCTTTGAGTTGCAGTGCTGGAGAAGAGTTTGGAACATACCACGGACTACCAAGAGAACAAATAGGTCTGTCCTGGAGAGGGTGAAACCAAGTTACTTCTTAAAGGCAAGGATTTTGAAGCCACGTCTCATATACTTTGTACGTGTTGCCAGGAAATATCAGTCTTTAGAGAAGGACATCATGCTTGGAAGGCTGGAGGGACAGCACAGGAAGACCCTTGATGAGATGGATTTTCTCAGTAACTGGGATAATGGGAGTAGGTGTGTTAGAGACGATGAGATTTGCTCAAGATAGAATACAGAGCTATCATACATAAGATCACTATGTACGTCACAAGCGACGGCACACAACAACAAGGTGGAAATGCAAATTGTCAGTAGCAGGTTAAAGTGTCTGAAGCACTATTAGCAGACTGAAGTTTACGAAGCATTAATTTGAAGACTGTCTCCAGGCAATTATTTCTGGAGGTTCACTTAGTCCTATTCACTCTAAGAAGCCTAGAATCTATTAAGAATGTGAAGTTCTGTTCTCCATTTCCTCCCTCCTTTTAATCATAATTCCTAATAAAATATTCTACAGACTATACAGGGAGCTCTGTAACTTAGTGGTATGGAGTTGTGCTGCCAACCCAAAGGCACATGGGTCAAATTCACCAGCTGCTCCATCAGACAAGGTGGACAATCTTCTCCTGTGTCATTTACTACTAATGAAAATGCACTGGAAGGTCAGCTATGAGTTAGTTCCGACTTGATGGCACATAAAATCAGTGGTACAATGAATTAATGTGACCCTTCCATCCATACTCTCCCATTTTGTGATAAAGTATTTATTGTAACAAGGAGATAAGATGAGGATTGCTGAGATCCACAATCAACAGTTGGCAACAGAAGCCAATAAATCAAAAAGTTAAGTTGCACTGGGAAAATATGATGTCAAGCCCCCACCAGAGTAATGATGTCAGTCCAGAGACTGAGGTGTGCCTTATCTAGGGCATGGTCTTTTCAATTACTTGCTATACATCTGAAATCTGGACAATGAGTAAGGATGACAGAAGTAGAATAGATACCTTTGAGTTGTGGTGCTGGAAAAGAGTAATGAATATACCATGGACTGAAAACAGAACAAAGTCTGTCCTGGAGTGGGTGAAACCAGTTTGCTCCTTTGAGGTAAGGCTTTTGAAGCACCATCTTACATATTTTGGGCACGTTGTAAGGAAGGTTCAGTCCTTGGAGAACGACATCATGCTTGGAAGGGAGGAAAGTCAGCACAGAGAGGAAGACCATGGATAAGAAGGATTGACATAGTAACTATGGTGATGGGATTGGGTGTGTCAGAGATGGTGAGATTGGCTCAGGATGTGGAAAGGTTCAGAATTGTTTACAGGGTCACTATGAGTAGACTTGACAACACATAGCAACAAGTCCTACCTTACCAGAGGTCTTTTTTGTGATGAAGTATTTGTTGTGTTAAAGAGATAAGATTAGGATGGGATACAAATCCTACTGACTAGAGGCCATTTTGTGATGAAATAGTTATGTATTTGTGTTAAAGAGATAAGATGCTATTGTTTGTTATTAAGTGCCACTGAGTTGAGCACAACTCATAGCAAACCTAGTAACAAAAGATTTGAACCCTGTTCTATAACTATCATCATTTCTCTAATGTATATAGAGTATCCAAAGGCATGTTGTTTAGGAACAGGATGCCAATCCTGCTTCAGGGTCTGTCTTAATTTGGGAGCTCCACCAAATACTGTCCACTATGTGTAATGATTATGGCATTTGACACATCAGTGGCACAGTGCTCAGTATTACAGCAACTCCAAGTTACCTCAGTAAAGCAAATTGACAGATCAGTGCTGTACCACTGATTGGGCCTGAGGGCCCAAATGACTTTTAAACACAAAGGCCCACCCACCCGCCAGGTCCTGAATGACTTAAACAAGAGCTTCCAGCCCTCAGCTGATTGTTAGCTAAAATCAATAATCAAATCAGCTCACACACTATTGTGAATGAAATAAAGAACCATGACTTTCAACTAAAACAAGAGAATCTACCCACCAGAATCCAACTACTTCACACATGAGCCTCCAAACTAGAGACTTAGTCAGGGCCCAACTGACTTTTAAATACAAAAGCCCACCTACCAGGTCCTGATAGATTCAAACCAGCCCACAGCTGCTTGTTAACCAAATCCAGTAAATCCAAACCTACAAGCCCTACCACACTCCTGCTATGTATTCTTGAGTCAGAACCAAGGGTAAAGGGTCAGTGAAGGAGAGGAAGACCCTCAACCAGGTAGACTGACATGGTGACTGCCGCAATGGGCTCTTATGTGTCCGCCTCAACTGCACCTAACAACAATAATAATAACAAATCTCATGGGAGTTGACAGCCATGGAGAAACTGATAGATCTGAACCACACACATGTGAACTCGAAGTACAGTCTTCACCCACTAAAGCCACCAGAGCTCCCTTATCAGTGGCCTACATAAGCTCATGGTAGCTCAATTCCTGAGCTCCTTTGGGACACAGAACCCAGCTGCACCACAAATGACAGTCTGCAGGTTCCTGGCTCATTGATCTCTTTAACAGCAGCCTACATCATGACAGTTACGTGAATAATTTTCTTGATGGGATTTGAGTCTCTGTGAGACCTCCAGAGAACCACAGAAACCAAAAGACATAGATGAGAGTGGGGGAACTGAACAGACGGAGAACTGAGAATATTGGAAGATTCGGAGTGGTACGAGAGACCAAACATTTGAGACATCATTGACCTCTGCCCTTTTAGCAACAATCTGATATTAATATTAGTAAAACAATTTTAATTATACAATATTATGCAAATATTCAATAATAAGAGTTGTTGGGAAAGAAGGTAATTCTTTGTAACCTTGTGCATTTTAGCTCACAAACAGAAAGAAAATCATATGCTTTTGTCCTAAAAATGTAGAAATTAGAAAAAGCAAAACTATAAATGGCTCCCCCAAATTATAATACTTATAAATAATTGTTTCTTTGCTACATTTGTGGCTATAAACCATCCTTCATACTGCATGCTTCAGTTTGTTCCTTTTTTCTAGCTAGGATGCAAGCCAACAACCACAGTGGTCCAAGAATGAAGCTTGCTAACCACTGGGACATTTCCTTTTATAGGTTCTAAACTTACTCATTCAGTAATGCTTTCAAATGGAGTTGCAAGCTGCGTACTGCTGTGTGAACATTATTCAGTTCTCTTGACTTCTGTTGAGTTTTTGATAAACGCTGGGGCACAGACTGGTGCTGAGTTTCAAAGTAACGATAAAACTCGTAGCTGCGCTTCAGCTCTTCCAAACAGGCAGAATGAGCATGAGGTAGACCTTGAGTTACATCAGATAAAATACGATGAGGCAAAAGTGCTGGCGTAAGTAAGGACCCAGGAGGTGAATTTGCTGTTGAAAGTAACAGGGCTAACCGTCGGAAGAACTCTGAACTCTGTGCCACCCAGAGTTGGAAAAGAACCTAAAAAAGGAATAACACATATTGGTTAGCATTCAAAATAAACTACAAATAGGTTTAACTTTAATTTCTGGTTTAATTCTTTCACTTTACGTTAAGTAATTCATATACCTAACCCTGAACTAATGGTATAAAATAGCTTAAACCCCCTATACTAGAACATCAGCAAAGAATGTTATATCAAATATAGAGTCATGGCATATGAGAGCATTCAATCTTAATGTACAGGTAACACTAGTTTATTGTTATTGTTGTTAGATGTCATCAAGTACAGCCCACAGTGACCCTATGAACAACAGATTTGAATCCTGTCTTTCCTGTCCTGTGCCATCCTCACACTTCCTGGCATAGATTGGTTATTATTATTTTTTTTTTAAATACTGAGTAGACATCAGTTTATAGTTTAATAAAATTCTGTACAGAAAGTGTTAGTGGAATAGACATATCCACTGTAGGACTAAAATGTGCCTGATTAAGGCCATGGCCTTTTAATTACTTGCTATGCAACTGAGAGTTGGACAATGAATAAAGATGACAGAAAAAGAACTGAAACCTTTGAACTGTGGTGGTGAAGAATAGTGACTAGCCCATGGACTGTGAAAAGAACAAACAGATATGTCTTGGAGAAGATGCAGTTAAAGTGCTCTTGGAGGTAATGATGATGAAGCTTCAGAATCTCACATATTTTGGGCAAGTTGTTAGGAAAGATTATTTCTTGGATAAGGACATCATGCTTGGGAAGGTGGAGGGGCAGTAAAAGAAATGAAAACCCTTAACCAGGTAGGTTGACATGGGGACTGCAGCAATGGGCTTGAGTGTATCAGAGATTGAGGATGACATAGGGTAGGACAGTGTTCACATTGGTTGTTCAAAAGGTTGCTGTAAGTAATACTTGACGGCATCTAAAACACCACTGCAAAATATACATTATTAAGACAATTTTATACATAGGCAAAAAGAAGAGAGTAGTATCATCAGTTCAAAAAAACAGTTCATTGATGGATCTAGGAAAAGATGTTCCTAGACATTTAGGATGGTTACCTTTGAATATTTAAACAATTTTCTTTAATGATATTAAAGGAAGAAATTTGTTAATTCAACAAAGATTTAATGAGGACCTACTTTGTGACAGACTGTTCTAGGTACTGATGCATGGCAATGAAACAGATTAAATTTTCATCCTCTTGGTACTATTTGAATTGGAGAAAGAGAAAATATAAAAGTAGGTTTATGTGGTGGTCAGATGGCAAGAAGCTGCACTGCAATCCCAAAGGCATCAGGTTTGATGCCACCAGCTGCTCCATGGGAGAAGGGTGGGCAATCTCATCCCATGCGATTAACCACCTCTGAAAACCTGCTGGAGGGTCAGCTATGGGTTGGTTCTGACTCTAAGGTACAAAACAATAACACCAATGTCGTATAATAAAGAATAAGAGAAAATAATGAGAGAAAAAGAAATGTAGGTGACAGGGTGATGGAGAAAGACCTTGTAGAAGGAGGACGACCTGCTATGATTTACATTTGAAAAGAATAATTTGAAATAGAGTGGATAAGAACACAATCAACAGAAGTCAGTCACGAGATAACTACAGTAATGGAAGAAAGAAAATAGCAGCTTAGGTGGGAACACTGGTATTAAGAGTTTGATACATGCCGCAATCAGTTGGTGATGGCAAGAGCTATTTCTAGTATTGCAGATATTATGTATTTTACAAGAAAGTTAAAAATAATAGCTAATGTTACTTATTCTTGTCTTTTAAAAAAAAAGGATTGAGTAGATATATGTAGGGCAAATGGAGGGTAATATGTAGTTTGACATTAACAAATGAGCACAGAAATAATCCACCAATGTTAAGTGACTGGATGTATTTTGGCCAAAAGTTTCTAGTATAAAAGAATGTATTTCTAGTTCATGGCAAAATGTTCCCTTAAATCATAATCAAAATCTTAATAGGTATATCTCAACACAAGAATATTATTAAAAGCAATTTTATCAGTCTTTCTAGAAGCAAAAGCTAGGCTTATTAATCTCTCTGAAAGCAACAGCAAACTGGTATGACCAGAATACAGAAATATTTTATTAAAAAAGCAACATCTGACCAACAATGCCCAGGCACACTGGAGTCAACTTCGTTCTCAATGGATAGAGACTAAAGTCTCTCCCTTGCAAACAGAGACCAAGCAAAGAAACCCACTATCATACCTTCTATTCACTGTTATGTTGGATGTCTTAGCTACAGCGATTGCATAAGCGGAGATAAGAGAGATCCAAATTGGCCAAGAGTGTGTGTTTAAAGAAAGCCTTAAAGACTCAACAAAAAACCCCTTAGACAAGGCAGACAAATCCAGCAGACTGGCAGTATGCAAGATCAAAATACAATAATCAGATGGACTTCTCTATATCAACAAAGAAAAATACTGATAAGGAATTAAGAAAAGCAATACCATTTACAATAGCCAACATGAAGATGAAATACTTAGGAATAAATTTAATCTGAGGCACAAATGACCTAAGAAGATTACGAAAGGAAAACTGACAAAACACTACTGCAAGAAACAATAAGAAACCTAATTAAGGAGAAAAATATTGTCTGTTCATGGAAAAGAAGACTCAGTATTATGAAAATGACAAGAAGACCAAAAGCAATCTATTGTGTCAATGTAATCTTAAAATAGACACCAACCCTCATTATTCCAAGATAAAGAAAAGGCAATCTTCAATTTCACTTGGAAAGGAAAGAGACACCCAAATAAGCAAAACTCTTTTTAAAAAACAAAAATCAGGTAGGAGGCATCATACTCCTTGACCTCAAAACTTACTACACAATCATAATCAAAACAGTATGGTATCGGTACAACAATAAGGACACATACAGACCATTACAATAGAATTTAGAACTCAGAAAACCCACCTATGGTGGCTAATTGACAAGGAAATGAAGTCCATTAAATAGGGAAATAACAGCGTCTTTAACAAATGCTGCTGGCAAAATCAGACATCTATCTACCTGCAGAAAATGAAGCAGGATCCAGAGCTATCTCCATTCAGAGACCTAAAGATAAACCAAAAACTATAAAGATTAAAGAAAAAATGAGAAAAAATTTAGAAGCCCTTGTCTATGACATGAATAGGCTAGCAAACATAGTTAATGGTGTACAACCAGAAGAGGATAACCTTAATGAATGGGATCTTCTGAGACTCAAATCACTGGGTACATAAAAAGTTTTTCCAAGAAGGTGAAAAGTAATCCCACAGACTGAGAAAAAATATTTGGCAACAACATTTCAAATAAAGGGCTCAAAACTAAAATTTACAGAACACTACATTACCTCCCAGAGTTCTCCTTGGAGGCAACAATGGCGAAGCGTCGTCTCTCATAATTTGGACATGTTGCCAGGAGAGGCTATTCCTTGGAAAGGGATGTCAGGTTTGGAAAGGCAAAGAGTCAGAGAAAGAGAAGACTCCCAATAAGATGAATAGACACATTGACTGCAGCAATGAGCTCAAGTATATCAGAAATGAAGAGGATGGCACAGGATAGGACAGGATTCAGGTATGTTGTTTATAGGGTCAATATGAGTCATACTTGCTTGACTCAATGGCATCTAACAACAACAGTGCCTCCACAAGAAAAAGACTGATAATTCAACTACAAAACGGGTAAAAGATGTGAGAAGACTCTATTAAGGAGAATATTCAGATGGCAAACAAACACATAAGCAAATGTTCACAATCACTAGCAATCAGAGAGATGCAAATCAAAACCACAATGAGACAGCATCTCACCCCAGTAGCAACAGCCAGGTTAAAAAGACAGTACATGATAATAGGGAGCTCTGGTGGCCTAGTGGCAAGAAGCTGCGTCACAAGCCCAAAGGCATGTGGTTTGAGGCCACCAGCTGCACCACGGAAGTCTGGGAAATCTCCTCCTGTATGGTTAACTGCTTCTCAAAACCTGCTGGAGGGTCAGCTATGGGTTGGCTCGACTTGACAGTATACAACAACAAACAATAATAATGTTGGCGAAGATGTGGAGAGATTGGAACTCTCATGCACTGTTGGTAGGATTGTAAACCACTAGAGAAGGCAATGTGGCATTTCCTCAGTAAGATGAATCTAGAAATACCAAAGGACTTAACTATTCCAACACTCGGCATATACCCCAAGGAAATCAGAACTGTGACACAAATGGAGATATGAACATTTAAGTTTATCACATCACAACAGCAATATAATGCAAACAAATGTCCATCAACAAATGAATGGATAGAGACATTGTGGTACAGTCACACAATGGAATATTACGCAGCACCAAGGAACAATGAATTTGTAAACTACTACACAAGAATGGTGATTCTGCAGGACATTATGTTGACGGAAACAATTCAGTCAAAAAAGGAAAAATATTGCATAAGACCATTAAGTGAATAAAGGAGGATGAATGGAGGTGGGGCAATGGGATAGCAGAAATAGAATATACAGTAAATGAACACTGTAAAGGATCAGGACAAGGGAAGATCAACTTGGTAAGATTTGACAAAAAGACAATACAGCTACTGCAATTAGCTAATTTTGTTATTGTATGCCATCAAGTTGGAACCAACCCACAGTTGACCCTCTTAGCAGGTTTCCAGAGGCAGGAAGTTGCACAAAAGGAGATTACATATGGTCCTCCTCCAAAGCAGGTAGATTTGAATTGCATACCTTTGCACTGGCAGCACAATTTCTTACCACTAAACCATCAGAGCTCCCTAATTAGCTAAAAAGGAACAGTATATGTTCAAAGGTGAAGAGGTAGGGGAGAAGGGGAGTGGAAGAAATGGGAGGGTGGTAAAAAAACACACTAGGGCAGCATAGATTAGTGGATGAATGGTGGAGGGGCGAAGGAAGTGGCAAGTCACAATAGGGATTTGATGAGACCAGGTGAGAAAAGGCACTGATCAATAGCCACTAATTATATATGAATGATAGTATAAAACAAAATGTACATGAATGAAACCCATTGCATATGAATGACTGTAAAAAAACCAATAAAAAAACTAAGAAAAAAAAATCTATATTTTCTTTAGCGCTTCCCTTCCACAAATGGACTACCTTCAATGCAGGCAGGCTGAAGCCATCTGTAAGGTTATGAGCTTCCTCTTCTGAAACCTGCTCATGACTGAATCCAAGGCCCAGCTCCTTAAAAGGCACCACACAGATGTAGTTGGTTATATTGTCACTCTCAGAGTTCAGAGGGTAGGTTAAGTTAGGTTAAGGCAATCAACAAGGCCTTTTCATTAAAGTACAACTGTCCAAAATTATGCTTATTTATCTTTAATAAACTTTTCCTATAGATGTTTTTTAAACAGAAACTAAAGAAGTAATTCATTAAGTAACACTTCAGATATCTTATAAGATACTTTTATATTTAAATAATTAAAAGTTCAACTTTCAAAATATCAAAGTGCTAATTTATTTTTGATAGCTATCTTTTTAGACTTTGCTGTGTATTTTCTGTGTCATGGCTCAGATTATTACTATCCTATAGTAAATACTCCTAAGTCTTACAGACTACAGGATATATGATTATCTGGACAATACTAGAAATACACACACTACTGATGTAAGTAGCACTAATATATAGGGTTGTTAACATAAACTATTGTTTTATTGACTCTGAGTCATGGGCATCCTTCAAGATAATAACATGATTTCCCCCCTTTGTTTTTATAGAGAATTATATTAATAAAATCCTTGATTCTGAATGACCCTTGGAGCCCTAACATACTTCTATTTGGTCATATTGATAATATATGACATACTGTTAGGTGCCCTTGAGTTAACGGCAACTCATGGTGACTCATGAACACCAAATCAGAAGCTTGCCCCAGCTTAACGATCTCCAATATACTCATTATTATAGTCCATGCATCAATTCATCTTGACAGGGGTCTTCCCCTCTTTCTCTGACCCTCTACCTTTCCCAGCATGCTGTCTTTTTCCAAAGACTGGTCTCTCGTAATGGTATGTCCAAAGTATGGGAAATGAAGTTCCATCATTCTTGCCTCTACTGAGCAGTCTCACTGAATTTCAAGACAGATGTTTGTTCTTTTGACAGGTCATGGGATAGTCAATACTCTTCACCAACAACACAATTCAAAGGCATCACTTCTTTCTTATTTATTGCTCTACTTACTGATATATAAAAAGCAAATGATAATACCATGGCTTAGGTCAGGGTCATCTTAGTCTTTAATCTGATATCCTTGCTCTTTAGTACTTTCAAGAGGTCTGTGACAGATTTGCACAATACAACATATCTTTTAACTTCTTGACTGCTGCTACTATGGGTGTTGATTGTGGATCCAAGTAAAATGAAATTCTTGACAACTTCAATTTGTTCTTCATCTATTATTACCTATTGACTCCATGATGAAGATTTTTGTTATCTTAATGTTAAGATGTAATCCAGATTGAAGGCTGTAGTCTTTGATCTTTTTAGTAAGGCTTTTAAGTATTTTTCACTTTCTGGAAGCAAGGTTGTGTCATTGGCATAATGCAGGTTGTTGATGAGTCTTTATTTATTCCTGAAGCTACTTTCTTCACATAGTCCAGCTTCTTGAATGATCTACTTAGCATATATGTTAAATAGATATGAAGAAAGGATACAGTCCTGACGCACACCCTTGCCGATTTTAAAATAAGCACTGTTCCCAAGTGCTGTTCAGACAATTGCTTTTGGTCTCTGTGTAGGTTTGACATGAGCTCAGTTTTCTGGCATAAATATGTACACTCTCCATATGTGAGACTGGCCTATAGTTTTTATATTTTATAATATATTGTTATATATTTTCATAAATTAATTATATAGGAGGGAGCTTCCTAACCGTATCTATGGTCTGAAATAGCTTTAAAAAATTTTATTATTATTATTTTTTGTGTGTGTACCATCAAATTGGATCTGATTGGTACAGAAGGAGACTGTCCCTCCCTTTCTAGCAGAGCACTTGGTGGCTTCAAATCTTATACCTCTGGGATTGCAGTTGCAGCTTCTTGCCAGTAGGCCACCAGAACTCCCTTAAAATAGCTTTAAAAAAAACTATAAAATGTTCTGGACCTAGTAGTATTAGCTTTTCTTTTTTAAATTTATTTAGCTTTTGAATATGTAATTCATTCATATGGTTCAAATACCTAAGTATTAAGGAATGAGCACAGAAATAATTTTCAATCTCTAGCCCTTTCCCACTTATTTTCCACTTAGATTATCTACCTAAAAAAGCAAAGACAATCACTGTAATCTGTATCTTGTATATTCTTCAGGATATTTTATCTACACATAAAAGCTAATCCAAATAAATGCATGTATGTGGGGATATACATACATGCACATCCCTTCCTGTAAGCACAAAGATTTTGAACATCTCTTCTCATACACACATGGATGTTGTGATGAGTTGCTGTCCTGTGGATTCCAGTTCATGGTGGGCCCGTATATACACAACAGAACTACTCTCTAGGAGTTTCAAGGCCATGACCCTTAGAAACAGATCTACAGATCTATCTATCTTGGTTTCTTTGTGTTTCAAATTGCCACACTAATATGTGAGAACTTAAAAAGTTCCACAGAGGAACATGTACTTATTAAAACTGTCTTCCAGTTGATTCTGACTCATGGCAACCCTACATTGGGTTTCCAGCTCTATAAATCTTAAGGGGACCAGACTGACTCATCTTTATCCTCTGGAGTGGCTTTGGGTTTGAAGGGCTGACCCTGTAAGTTAGCAGCCCCACATATACCACATTATGCTACCAGGTCTCCTTTACACACACACGATCACCTTTTAACTACAAAACCAAACTTTGCTATAACGAGGGAGCTCTGGCCTAGTGGCAAAAAGCTGTACTGCAGTACTGATGGCAGGTGGTTTAAGGCCACCAGCTTCTTCATGGGAGAAAGATGGGCAATCTCCTCCCAGGCAATTAACTGCCTCGAAAAAACCCACTGTTGGATCAGCTATGGGTTGGTTCTGATGCTATGGTACATAACAACAACACCACAATATGAAATTTAGAAGTCATTCCACATTAGTGCCATAAAATGTTACTGCTCTTGCCTTTTTTAAAAAATATGCTGCCATTTCCACTGTTTAGATATAACCCAATTGTCTAATTTTTCAAATTACTTCTTTTCACATGCCCAATCTCTGTTCAGGTGCGTTCTTTTTCGTTGTTGTTGTTTTTCTTCTTTGAAGACCACTTCTAAAAATTATCCATTTCCTCTTGTATTTTCAAAGCTGCTAACACAGAATTGTTTTTGCTATCTACTGATAATAACTATATTTTTTCCATATGTATGATTAGAAGTCTGTAATCATTATATATTTTTCCACACTGTCAGTCTTTTAACTTTGATCAGACTTACCCAGAATCCAATCCATTGTCATCAACCCTAAAGAACATAACTGAACTGCTCCACAGGGTTTTCCAAATCCTCTAGGCAGCGCATTACTCTATCTTCCTCCACTGAAATGCCTGGTGGGTTTGAACCACTAACACCTGAGTTAGGCAGCCTACTGCTAAACACTGTTTCACTAGGATTTGTTGATCAGGCTTAGATGAACATATATTTTAATTAGTCTTTCCAAAAAATATCTGGATTTAAAACCCAAACCACTACAATTTCTAAGATTTCATGTGTGGAATATACAGACTTAGTCTCTTGGAATCTCACAGACTCCCTTGCTCTCAGCACTTACGGTGTTCAAGCCATGGATATTTTCTACAGTCCAGCCATGCTAAACTCACTCCTGTCACTAGATCATTGTATCTGTTAGTCCACTTAGCTGAAATACTTCCTCCAGAATTTTTTAGTCATTTAGATCCCAATTTAAATATCATCTTTTTAAAAGAACTATTACCATCCAAAAAACAGTAACTCATCAATCACTCTCTAGCCTTTATTATCCTGAGTTTTTTCTATTTTAAAATTTTATCTGACCCCTTTATACTGACTGTCTCACTCAGTAGAAGGTAGCTCAATAAAACCAAGGATCTTGTTTGTCATTGTTCACTGCTGGATTTTCAGTACCTAGAACAAAGACCAGCATAGGGAACTGTGAGGCTGGCACCTCTTACTACATTGTAAACTCCTCACTAAACTGTGTCATGAATTGGGAACCATGTCTATTTTGTTTACCTCAGAATATGCAGTAATTAGCACACTTCCTAGCACTGAGTTTATTTTTAATGAAGATTCATTACACTTGTAGTTCACAGGCCACTGTGATAACTCTTTCTCTCTGCTTGTTTCTACTTGGAATACAGAGACTTATCCTCTTGAGCAACTCTTTTTCTTGATCTTAGTTATTTTTGGAGAGTAAATTCAGGTGTCAGCTCCCTAAAAACCTTCTCAAACTTCATTGGGCAAGTAAGTTGTCCTATTATGTTGGGTGGCATTTAAAGTATTATTACATTATAGTATTATTAATGTGATTGGTCCCTAGGTGGCACAAATGGTTAGCATTTGTGGTTTGAAATTCTCTATAAAGCAAGATACATTGTGTATTATAAAGAGTCACCATGAGTCAGAAATCAATTCAAAGGCAGAGAGGGATTTTTGAGAGATAATTTTGTTTTTCAATGATTATTATCCATTGACCATACTAAAATTTTTAAAAGTATAAATTACATATTTGCACTCTCTTCTTAGCACCTAAAAGAGTGAATGACACAGAGCAAGTATGTATTTAGGTACTGGAGAATCCAAAAGTACTCGACTAAAATTAAATGCTTTCTTTTCATTTCTAAAGAGGTAAAATAGTGTACTAAGAATACACAGAAATAAGTTGTAAGTCTTACAGTCATGCCACAACTTCACGTCATAAGTCACTCCTGTGCAATTTACTGCCTCTGAAAACCTGCTGGAGGGTCAGCTATGGGTTAGTTCTGACTCAACAGCACACAACAACAACACCACCAATAAGAACTGTTCAGAGACAAGAAAGTCTTGTAGAGAAGGTCTCTGTGAGGACAGAATGATAAATAAGATGGTAATCCAGAAATATTAAGCATTACATTTATCAGAGCAAAGTAGTGTTTTTGTTCCCTTCCTCCCACTCACTCATAACTTATCTATGAATCTTAACTGAGATAAAGATCTTACATACCCTTATTTTCTAGAAATAATTTATTTCCTGATTTAGAAAGTAAGTGACAGATTATTACTATCACATAATCTTTGTGTGTTTACCATATACTAGATACTATCAAAGCTTTAAAGATTCTCACCACTGGGCCAATTGGCAGCACCATAATGGATGGAGAAGAGACTGAGGTTGTTAACAGTTACAGTTTGCTCGGCTCCACAATCAACACTCTTGGCACCGGTAGTCAGGAAATCAAATGACAAATTGTATTAGGTAAATCTGCTATCAGGGACCTTTCCAGAGTATTGAAATCCAATGATGTTAGTCTAGAGACTAAGGTGCTCCTGATCCAGGCTATGGTCTCTGCAATTACTTGCTATGCATCAGAGAGCTAAATAATGACTAAGGGTGATAGAAGAATAATTGATGCCTTTGAGTTGTGTTGCTGGAGAAGAGTCTTGAACATACCGTGGACCGAAAAGAAAACAAATAGGTCTGTCTTGGAGAGACTGAGATAAAGTTTATCCTTAGAAGCTAAGATTTTAATGCTCTGTCTCATATACTTTGGACATGTGGCCAAGAGGCACTGATCCTTGGAGAAAGACATCATGCTCGAAGGGTGAAGGAACAGAGCAGGAAAGGAAGACTGCAGATAAGATGGACTGATATACTATAACTATGGCAATAGGGTTAGGTAAGTGGAGTCAGTGACAGTGGCCCAGGACAGGGTGGGCTTCAGAGCTGTTGTACAAAGGATTGCTATGAGTCACAGGAGCACATAACAATGTCTAAGCTTTTTACATGCATTAACTCATTTGATCTCAACAAAAGCACAATGAGGAAGATTATTCTATTATCACTACTTTAGAGATAAGAAAGGTACAGAGAAGTTTAGACTTCCATAGGAAGGCTTCAAAGGCATAAACTGATAAAGTAAAAATGTAAACTTTGGCAATCTGAGTCTAGAGCCTCAGCTCTCTAAACAGCAAAGGACTTCCTGCTTCCAGTTTATTACTCTGCCATGATGCAATTGTGGCATGTTCAGAAATTTAAAAAATATCAGACCAAGCAAAATCAGGTTCTTCTGACTCCATTTTCCTGGACTAGCAAAGGGAGGGATTTCAAGATTTTTCCCTTATTGAAAATAAGCCACACAAGAAAAGAACTGTCTTCTTGTCTGTGATTGTCACCCCCCTGGAATGCAGCTCCAGTTTTAAAATAGAAGTGATGATGGAAATTAGTTTCAAAATATGCAACTTTAAATTACTGTTCATATTTACAGGATGCAACTGCAGTATCTCTATTAAGACTATCGGACAAATTGCTTATTCTCACATATAGCCAGAAAAGGATATTTTTTCAGCATATATAGGGTAGCTAGCCTTGCTGCTTGAAAGTTTGCTCTTACAGTTCTGTAGACAGCTTTCCGAAGACCGATGAGATGCTGACTGGGATGCTGTCCAGCTTTATTAAATGGGCAAGCAGCACTGACCCTGTCAAGCAAACTTGAAAAGTAAAATGTGATACAACTGTACAGGTGTCCTAAAGTTTCCGTTTCCTAAATCCATAACTCTAGTATGCTTACAAAGAAATTATTTTCCCATGATTTCCACTTAAAAAATGAGAAACAGTATCTCATTTGAAGTCCCATAAAATAGCCATTTCCCTGGAACACATATAATCACTAGCAAAAAGACAGAAAAACTTAAATTCTCAAGAAAGTAAAAGGTTCTTCTGATATGGAAAATGAATAAATTTAGTTCGGATATAGTAGAAATGAACTGAGGCATATTTATTTAAGAAATTTTAACCCTTGTTTTACATATAGCCAGTATCTGTGAAAATACACTAAAGTGGAACTATTCATAGTGTTCAAAATCTTTTGTCTACAGAGGTATAAAAGGACGTAATTATAAACTTATAAGTTTATAAACTTATGTCCTTAAGATATATACACATGTTAATCGATTGTATACTGGTCACTTGTACAGAATAATCCACTATTATACAGTAATACATTCTGTACATTCATAAACGTAGGGTAGAATTACTTACCCACCTGCTGCCACTGGCACTTACCTACTCAAAATGAAGTAGGGGACGCGGAAGCATACCAGGACCAGTGGCCAACAGGGGAATGCAAGTAGAAAGGCAAAGTAAGCGTTACTATTTAGCATAATAGCTACGCTCAAAACAGTTCAAGAGGAAGCACCTTTCATGGTGTTTGCTAAAAGACTGAAAGACAGCACCTAGTCACAACAATAACATAATGTATCAGACCTCTGCAACTAACAGCATATATGGCTAAATACATTTATAATAGTTTTTCACCTGATTAATCACTTTTCCTAACAAAATACTAAAATTTATTAATTTTAAAATATCTATAAATATGTAAAACAAGGCTTCTAATGAAAATCTTAAAAAATTTTTAAAAACAAACGAAAATACATTCAGACATTTAAAAAATCTAGAAAAGCAGTACATAATGATGTCTTTTAAAATAAAAAAACAGAAGCAATAAAAGGGTTGAAATAACTTGGAAGAAAGCATAGATTGTGGAAGAAACAGCAGTCTTGATTTTAATATATAGTATTATTTACTGACTGTGCGCCATCTTACTGAACAGTTTTAAAAATGGGTTCTTTTAGATGATTTAGAATTCTTCATGATTTCCCCCCTGTTACATTATACAGTTAATTTAAGACAGATGACGTATAAGACCTTCCAATGTTTCTTTTCATTCCCGTTTGTCATCTGAAAGGGCAAAGGCATAATCTGGAAGCAAATAATGCCTAATTGGCACACTTTACCTTAAATGTGGTAAAAGCTGGACAATAAGAAATAGAAAGAAAACTAGTAACATGTATGAGGAAAAGCGTGGGAGGGTGGGAGCAGAGAAGTAAGGATGGGAGGGGGGAAATCATAGGGTGAAACAACTTATGAGTGGAGTGGGGTAGGGGAAGAAATGGGAAAGATCTGGTGGGGATCTGGAAAGACAGGCTAATGGCGGGCACAGTTCAATGTTGATTTAATTTTAGAAAATACAATGAGTGGGAATGGCTGTATGAAACACAATGTGAATAAAGGATTGTGTGAAACAAAATGAAGACAAACTTTGTAAGTAAACCAATATAAAATAAAAATTAAAAAGAAAAGTTGGATAATACTAAATAATAGAAAATCTTCCACACATGTCTGACAAAGCAATGAAGACATAGCCATTCTGACTGGAAAAACTCCTTCAATAAAATGCTGTGTAAATCAAGAATAAAAAGGGTCTAATATTTATCATTAGTGTGACGTCTAACTTTTAAAATTTCCTCTCATCTAGCAACATGGGTCAATATGGGTTGAAATGACTTGACAGTACCTAACAACAATCAGCAAGAAGTGAACTTCAGCTATAATTAAAAAACCACAAAGGATTGTTGTATTTTTAATTACGCAGAAAAGAAAACTTAAAAATTCCTTCAATGTTTTGAAAAATGCTTAAATATTGTTTTAGAATACAACAGAGCGAAGATTCTCGATCTTTACTTTGGAGATTCTCCTACTCTCTGGTTTCTTGTTTTATCCAGGCACAATTTTCACATACCACGATTTTTAAAGTAGTGTTCAAGAGTACCTAATGACCTTATAAATCTTGATATTCCAGATACAACTAATTAAGAGTAATTATTATCTTTCACTATATTCTCACTTTCTACAGATTGCAAAGTTTATATGAGTTATATAAACCATCATATTAGTTTGGCAGGTGGGAAAACAGGCTTTGAAGTTAGATGGAAATAGATTTGAATAATTGCTCTTCTACTTACAATTTTATACCCTTAGCATACAATTGTATGTAAAATCATACACTTTTATCATAACTGTATGCAAAGTGTCTAGCATAGTAAATGGAATATAGCTTATTCAACAGATAATTCAATAAATGTAATTTTCACTTTAATAATAAGTAGCCTGGATAACACTTATAGCTGGACTGGTTGATATTTAATTTCCTGTGAGAATGTGACACACTGCTGCATGAAATTCTGAGAGTATCATGCCATTATTAATAACTGCTGATATTTACCTAAAGAATAATATCAACACACGTTGACATTTTTGAAAACTAATTCATGTCAATGTAATATTTAAACTTGGAAAAGAGGGAAACTGGCAGGAAGCAAAGGAAACAAATATAAGGGTACCTATTACATGCTAATAGTGGCTCAGCGGTTAAGTGCTTGGCCTCTAACAGAATGCTGGCGAGTCAAACTCATCAGGTGCACCCAGGGCAAAAGAATCCATGAAGATTATAGCTTTATTACTTGACCCCATATAGATTACTTCTTTTGTGGGGTATTTTTATCTGGTGCTATTAGGTTGCTATGAGTTGGAGACCCACCCCTGAAAGCAATGGTTTTATTGCATGCTAGGTCTGGTATTAGGCACTCTCATTATGTAATATAAAACACATGATAATGTACAGAAATAGTCATTATTCTTAAAGCACTCTATTCTTCAAGGTAGATAAGCAGAATCATATTACACACTAAATGTGGTACATATCTATTCTTTTACTTAGCTGTTAACAGAATTTAATAGGTGCTAAAGTCAAACAAATTTTTCCTGCAAATACAAGACTGAAATGAAAAGAACTAATAGTTATTCACATTTCACTAGGTGGTACAAAAGAATAGGTTGAAAAATGAAATTTAAAAAGTGAACTCACAGTGTAAATCCTCTGGAAATGACTTCCGTTTCTTGAATGAGACGCAATGCTTTTCTCACAAGGTTTGTAAAAGCTCGGCTATTTGCTGCAGTATCATCCAAGCGGGCTTTGTATTTTTTCAGAGTCACTTGTAGTCTAGCTGTCCTCCACAACCTCAAAGCTCTTATGACCAGATAAAGAAATAGGATCACACCCCATACCAACCAGGAGGAAACAATCCACCAAGTAGGAAGCATAACCAGCAAGCTAATGAAGGCAAATAGCATTGAGACATCCCTAGGAACAAAGAAAAAGAGTTACTTAAATCGGTAAAAACAACTGTAAGTTTTAGTTAGGTAAAGAGACAAAATACTGGATTCTATCTAAACATGACTTTTTAAAAACATCATGACAGAGTCAGAAAGATCTAGAAACTAGATACTGGTGTTTAAGTACTAAGATCTGAATTTCCAACTTTAGATAAAGGATATTAGAAATAAGTTTCCTCTTTAACTACTTTTTTTTGACAAGAAATCTTTAACCCAAGAAACAAATGAAATTAATTTAAAAAATACTATTTTGAGGTAATATAAATCCTTTTCCTAAAGTCAGACTTTGCTTTCATGGAAATACAATTTCTTAAGAAAATGGAAATGGTTTTCCAAATAGATGTCCTTGAATTGGTCATGACTCAAAACAATGCTATGAACAACAAATCGGAACATTGCCCCATTCTGTGTCACAATCACAATCTATGCCAATTTTCCTAATTTTTGTTGTTGTTATGTGCCGTCAAGTCAACTATGACTCATAGCGACCCTATGCACAATAGCTCTGAACCCTGCTGTATCCTGAGCCAATCACACTGATTCTGACATACCTACCCTCATTACCCCCGTTAGTCTATCAATCTATATCATCCAGGGTCTTGCCCTCCTGGATGTCCCTCCACCTTTTCAAGAACAATATCATTCTCCAAAGACTGGTCCCTCCTGGCTAAATGCCCAAAGATGAAGTCTTACAATCCTTGACTCCAGGGAGCAGCTTGGTTTCATCCTTTCCAGGACAGACCCATTGGTTCTCTTGGCAGTCCATGGTATGTTCAATACTTCTCTCCAGCACCACAACTCAAAGACATCAATTCTTCTGTCATCCTTGTCCAATGTCCAGCTCTCTGATGCATAGCAAGTAATTGTGAAGACCATGGGCTGGATCAAGTAGACCTTAGTCTCTAGACCCTTACTCTTCAGTACTCTGGAGAGGTCCCTGACAGTAGATTTTCCTAACATAATTCATCTTTTGATTTCCGGACTTCTGGTATGAAGAATGTTGATTATGGAACATAGTAAGCTGAAGCTGTTAACAATCCCAATCTCTTTTCCATCTATCACGATTTTGCCAACCTTTGTTTTCTTGACGTGGAGCTTCAATCCATACTGCAGACTAGGTCCTTGACCCTCTGGAGCAGATGCTTCATGACCTCCTCAGTTTCAGCAAGTTGAGGGTGTGTCATCTGTATAATGCAGGTTGTGGATGAGTCTTTCTCCAAACCTAATGTCACATTCCTCCTCATAAAGTCTAGCCTCTCAAATCATCAGTTCTGCATACAGATTTAAAATGTTTGGAGATAGGACACATCCTTGACATCCTCCTTTTCTGATTTGGAACCATGCAGTGTTTCTTTGCTCTATTCTGATGACTGCCTCCTGGTCCAAGATTTTGCATGAGCACAATTAGGTATTCTGGGATCCCATTCTTTTCAAGATTAGTGACAATTTGTTGTGATCCAAGCAGTCAAATGCCTTTGCATAGACAATGATATGCAGATAGACATTCCTCTGGTATTCTGTACTTTCAGCCAAGATCCATCTAATATTGGTTAGGATGTCCTTAGTACAATGACATTTTCTAAACCCAGCTTGTATTTCTGGTAGTTCTTTGTCAATGTATTGTTTTAGCTGTTTTTGGATAATCTTCAGCAGGATTTTGCTTATGTGTGGTATTAGTGATACTGTTTGATAATTTCCACATTCTGCTGGATCACCTTTTTCTGCAATAGGAATAAATATGGATCTCTTCCAGTTAGTTGGCCAGGTAGTTGTTCTCCAGATTTCTTGGCACAGCCTGGTGAGCACGTCCAGGGTAGCATCCGTTTGTTGAAATATGTCAATTGGTATTCCATCAATTCCTGGGGCCTTCTTTTTTTGCCTATTCCTTCATAGCAGCTTGAACTTCCTCCTTCATCTCTATTGCCTCTTGAACATAAGTCATAAGTTGTTTCATGAAACACTTCTGCTTTAGCCAGTTCTTTTTGGTACAGGGACTCTGTGTACTCCCTCTATCTTCTTTTGATGCAGCCTGTATCATTCAATATTTTGCCCATAAAATCCTTAATTTTTCAATTAGAAATTAGATATACAGAATGAGTAACTGTTCTGAATAGAGTAATGTTAATGTTAAATAATAATCATGGATTATTCAATCTCACTAATTTGGAAAGCAGACATACTTACTACAGACTTTAGGGAGCTCTGATGGCCTAGAGGTAAGGATCTGCACTGCCAACCTGAAGGCATGAGGTTTGAATTCACCAGTTACTCTGTAGGAGAAAAATGTGAAATCTCTTCACATGTGATTTTGTCTCTGAAAACCCACTGGAGGCTCAGCTATGAGTCAGTCCTGACTTAATGGCACATAACAGCTAGACTTTGATAGGGGCATGTTTTGTCCTTTCACACTGCTTTAATTGAAGACAAAATATGTATAAAATTAATTTTAGTTCAATCAATTACAAATATATTAAACTAAAATATGTCTTTTAACCAAAGAGACCTTTGATAAAAATTTTCACATTTAAAAATAGACAAGCATGAGGGGATGCCTGAAGGGATATCTGTCAATATTAATAATATTTGGGGAGTTAAGAATTACAACTTTCTACAGAGAGAGATACATGTAACAGCACTTTGTAAGGAGTATTTATTTACTGAATCCAATTTCTCTTGGAATTCATGACATTTTATGGTTTCTTTCTTTTCTTTTTTTTTCTTTAAATGACTCTTCCCATCCACTCCTCTTTTGTTGTGTGCTCTCGAGTCAGATCTGACGGGCACAGGAGGAGATTGTCCAACCTTCTCCAGCAGAGCATCTGGTGGATGTGAACCATGCGCCTTCAGGATTGCAGTGCAGCTTCTTGTCACTAGGCCACCAGAGTTCCCTGGAGTCCATGACATTTTAGAATACACTTACAATAAATGTTAATAAAAATTCTATCTTAAATTTTTCTGTATTAACATGAAAGTCTAGGTAAATATTTGCATTAATATTTGCTTAATCACATTTTTGAGTAAAAATTTGAAAATACTTCTAAACTCTGTGGGTGGATTTTTTTGTTTTCAGTTTCTTGAAAGCTTACATAATAAGGCTTTATCACTTTGTGATGGATGATATTTGAGTGACTAGATTTAGAAAACTTTGCTATCTATTATAATATGAAGCACTGTCAGTATCACAGGAAAGAGATAAATTCAGAATGCTAAGGAAAAGGAATTTCACTGTTTGTATAAGTTGAAAAAGTCATGAAGTAATTTGATTGATTTCTTTCTTCTCTGTCAATAATAAGTTCACATTTTAACAGGAAAAGACAGTAACAGTTTTTGTAGAAAAATCTGGATTACTATCCACTTAAGAAAAAGAAACAGATTATGGCCTGGGAACTACATAATACTCTGAGTGACTGCAAAGTTCTAGGATAGTATGAATAAGCAAATTATATTTCTATAACTGAAATAGTCTTAACTAAGTTAAAAAGAGTCAACAGTTTACCTCCATGTTCTAGTTTATGCTTGGTAACACTACAATGCAGTTATAGTCTATTAATTAAAGAAAAACATAAAGAACTGACTTGGTTTGGACATATACTTCACTGCCACATGGGTGACACATTATATCTGCTTTTTGAGTAGCTAAGCACAGAAATAATGATACTCAGTTGGAGGTATAAAATAACCAAGTGGATTTTCCAACTTTATTTATAATTGTATTTACTTTAGAAAAGAACTGCCGCCCCTTTAATGTCTGATATATCATAACATTAAAATATAAGGAAAGTTAACAATAATGCCTTTATAATGAAGGACATGATGATGGATTTCCTCTGCTCTTTCTTTACATATAAGCAGTCAAAGGACAGATGTTTTCTGGGCAGTACCAAATATTAGGAGTTGCCAGGGAGCGAAGTGTTGGAAGGTGTCCATTTTCCTGTTGTTGAGGCTGCCCTGCAGACAGGATACTGGGATCAAGTAGCTCAATCAGCTCCACATCCTCTTGTAACAGCACTTCCTGTTGCAGGATGGTATGTAGTGAGTCAAGTCGGAATCCAGTATCCTTGTCATTAAAGGACAGGAAGAGAGGTATTAATATATACATAATTCTGAATTCAATGGTAAGCTTCTAATGTACTGGTAAGATTGATAGGTTTATTTTCAGCTCAAACTTCAGCAAGAAGAAATAACACTCCACTCAATCTTCAGTGTGAGGAGGCTTTGCTGTCATTGTACATATAAAACAAAAGCTTGACGTAGGCATTTTTTGGACATTAACATAAAATCCCCCAAATTTTTAATAAAGATATAGAAGATAATTACATATTAATAAACTTACTTACTTAATCTTTATTAAAAAATTGTATGGAAAATATATTAGTATAACATATAAGATGCTGTCCTTAGATTCTGTAACAATATAGTCAACACCGGGGGGCTCTGGTGGCCTAGTGGTAAGAAGTTGCACTGTAATACCAGAGGTGCAGGGTTCAAATCCACCATATGCTCTGCCGGAGAAGGAGGGGCAATCTCCTCCTGTACCGGTCAGATCCGATTTGATGGTACACATACAAAAAATAATAAAATTTAAAAAAAAACAAAAACAAAAACCAACCAACCAACCAAACAAAACAATATAGTCAACACCTAAGAACTGTATTGGCAAGATCAAGACCTTCTAAAACTGGACATTCAGCTATTAAAAATAAAACATTAAGGAATGAAATGCAAAAATCACATAAGAATCTTGACTGTAGTTTACAAAATGCATTCACATATACCAGATCATTTTATTATTCCTTTCTTTTTCTCCTTCTTTCCCTTTCTTCTTCTATCCAAGCATTTATCAGCAAGTATCTTCTATACATTAAGCACCATGTTTCACAATGTAGATGCAAAAAGATGAGGGAGTCACACACATCCTTACTCTCAAAGAATTCTTTATCTAATGTTAAACACTGAAAAATAAGTTACAAAATAAAAAAGGCGTACAATGAGGTATACGTAGATTACTATGAAATGCACAGAGGAATCAAACTTGTGATGGCTGAACTACAAAAAGAAAACAAGGAGATCCTGAGCTGAGTCTTAAAGTAAGAACAAGAGTTGTCAGAGAAAAGAGCTAAGAGAGTAGGGAAGAAAAGAATAAAATTAAGTCTAATTTGGGAAACATAATACAAAAAGTCATCTGCTACTAGCTGTGTGCATGCAATGGAGAAAGGAGATATGAAGTAGAAGAGTCAGGGTCAGTAGTCTACTTTTCACAGTAACCATGGGATGGATCTATATTACCATCCTCCTCTCCATTTCATATAGGAGAAAACAGATGTCAACAGAGTAAGTAACTTCCCATAATCCTAATTTCTTATTTCAAATCTTAAATCACTGCTAGTTGATTATTTGGCTTCTCCATATAGTATCTGTACAAAAAAATGAACTCAAAAGAGATCAAGACACATCAAACATCCAAAGTAGAGGCATTTATATAAATCAGAACGTCTCTACAAATAAAGAATTAGAACTATATCCTGATGATTTTAACTGTTAAATAGAATCAGATTAAATTAATGAATTTCTCACATTAAATGAATAAATTCCATTTTTTTCTTTAAGGATAAGTTGAAGAATTATGTATTACTCATTATTTAGAAAAAATAAGAAATAGCTATATTTTTATAGAAAATAGGAAAACTATGTTATAACATGGCAATTATATTATTAGGAAAACTAAACCCACAAAATTAAGAAATATATTGACATGGTGACTGCCGCATTGGGCTCTAGTGTGTCAGAAAGTGTGAGGGTGGCACAGGATAGGATGAGATTCAGATCTGCTGTTCATAAGGTCACTATGAGTCATACTCAATGGCACCTAACAACAACAGCAACCATCACAATGGCACATTGAAACCCAAGTCCAAGGTACCCAAAATAGATGAAAACTGAAAAGGCATCTCTGAAGAACTTCACTATTACTAAATATATCTAAATAGATGTTCTGTACTATGGGAAACATATTGTGTGAATTTTGACTTCTTGTTTCTGTTATGTGCTTCGAGTTGCTTATGACTCATAGCGACTCTATGTACAAAAGCCCTAAATCCTGCTCTATTCTATGCCAACTTTATTGTCTCTGACATACCTACCCCATTACTACAGTCACTTGAATCAAGTGGACCTCACCAAGGGTCTTCCTCTCTTATACTATCCCTCCACCCTCCCAAGCATAAAATCCCTCTGCAAAAACTGGTCCTTCTTTGTAACATACCCAAAGTATGTCAGATGAAGCTTTAGAATCCTTGCCTCCAGGGAGCAGTTTGATTTCACTCTCTCTAAGATGAAGATGTTTCTTCTTCTAGTTGTCCATTCAGTAGTCTTCTCCAACACCACAGGTCAAAGGCATCAATTCTCCCTCTATCATCCCCAGTCATTGTTTAGCTTTCAGATGAATAGCTAGTAATTGCGAAGACTATGGGCTGGATCAGGTGCACCTTAGTCTCGAGACTGACATTGTTGCTCTTCAGTACTCTGGAGAGGTCCCTGACAGCAGACTTTCTCAATGCAATTAATCTTTTAATTTTCTGGCTTCTGGTATGAAGAGTGCTGATCGTGGAGCCAAACTATTTCCCAGGTATGTATTTCCTACAACTCTGCATAACATAAGCAAAATAAGGCACTCTAGTGGCATAAAATATAGTGGACTTCACGGCGTTTCTAGCAATTCTAATCCACCAGTGGCTCATTGGAGTAGGGCTGTTAAAATTCACAGCCCTGGAAACCCATTGGAGAATTGCTATCAGCCAGAATAGACATAAGGGCAGTTGTATAGGCACAAAAGGAGTGCATAAAAAAGTTGATATTATATGTGAATCATGACATGGAAGTACATTGCTACTGGCAAATAATTAAGAATGAAAAGATGAGGACTATGCAGAGAACCATTTAATCATAAAAAAAAAGTATATGGATCCACATTATTTTACCATAGTCCTACTATCATTGTAGAAATAGGTGATTCTATCAGGATAGGGAACCTTTTTGACACCACCGCCCTTTGCTTAGCCTCTTAGGTCTAGAGCAGGATTGGCCCTGCCAGATAGCCTTAAACTACTACCCACACATCATAAATTATATGGATATCATTGCTGATGTCAGATGGATACTGGCTGAAAGCATAGAATATCAGAAAGATATCTATTTGTGTTTTATTGACTATGCAAAGGCATTTGACTGTGTGGATCATAACAAATTATGGCTAACACTGAGAAAAATGGGAATCCCAGGGCACTTTAATTGTGCTCATGTAAAACCTTCACCTAGAACAAGAAGCTGTGTGTGAACAGAGCAAGGGAACAATACATGGCTTAAAATTTAGAAAGGTATGCATCAAGATTCTATCCTCTATATCTATTCAATCTATATGCTGAGAAAATAATTTTATTAGCTGGACTCTATGAAGAAGAATGTGGTATCAGGATTAAAGGAAGATCCATCAGTAACCTTCATTATGCAGATGATACAGCCTTGCTTACTGAAACTGAGCAGGTCTTGAAGAACTTGCAAAAGATCAAAGACTACAACTTTGAATACAGCCACCGTACTCCCTGTAGGCAAAGATGAAAATTCTTTCTCTTACATACTTTTGGCATGTTGCCAGGAGAGGATATTCCTTGGAGAAGGACATCTTGTTTGGAAAGGTGGAAGGGTCAGAGAAAGAGAAGAAGACCCTCAACCAGTTGGTTTGAAAACAGTGATTGCAGCAATGGCCCAAGTATGTCTTAAATGGTGAGGATGGTACAGGACAGGACAAGGTTCAGATCTGTTGTTCATAGGGTCACTATGAGTTGTGCTTAACTTGACAACACATACCAACAAAAGCCTGGATAGAAATTCTATCTAGATGGCAAGACACTTCACTGACATTTTTTTTCTTTAAAAAATATTTTTAATGAACATTTATAGAAATTTTGGATTTCCATTCATCTATTGTTGCACTTTTCATTAACCTTCTTAATATACCTCTATCAAAGATGGAATTTGAAGTGAGAACTTGCCAGTATGAATTGCTAAGTTATTTTAGTAAAAAAGTAATAATACTCAAGGTAGAAGTAGTTGCTGTTGTGTACTGTGAGCTGACTCACAGCTGACCCTCCAAGAGGTTTTCAGAGGCAGTAAATCACATGGGAAGAGACTGTCCATCTTTTTCCTGCAGGAAGGTATAAGTAATGTGTTATTATGAAACTAACACAGGAGCTGGTTCCAGATTGTCTGGGTTCAAACTATAGATCTATCACTTTTCTAGCTGAATATTCTTGAACTTAATAAACATTCCTAAACCAACATGGACTATCTGAATGAAGGACTTTTTAATTTATAAAATATACCAAACCTTATTGGCCCTCAACGTTGACAATTTCAAGTCTGTGAAATTCCATGATTTGTCAGAACTATAAGACTAAATTACATAGTAAACTTTCATAGAGTAATAGATTAACAAAAGTAATAGGAGAGAAGAGCTATTTTTTATTTTGCCCCAATCTTGTGATTAAAACCAGTTAATTAGTCTGAGGGTTAAGGATGCAAACAGTTAAGTTACAAAGTGAAAAAGAAGATGATTCCACAACTATTCCTTTTTCTGTTGAAAACAGCATCGTGAACAGAGGAAGATGGTAGCAATAAACCAATAATACAACAAGATAGCAATAACTACAAAAACATCCATTCTAAATAGAATTCTTCTACTAGTTGTTATGTGTCCCATCAAGTTAGAACCAACACATAGCAGACCCGCCAGTGGCTTTTCAAAGGCTATATATTACCTAGGAGGAGAATGCTCATCTTTCTCCAGATAGCAGCTGGTGGCTTTGAACTGCTTGTCTCTGGCTTGGCAGTGCAAGTCTTTACCCAATAGGCCACTCTACAGGACAGAGGTGTATTTCATAAGACTAGGAAAAGGTACCCAAATTATTGACTTTCTAATAAAAATTAATTACTGCCCAAATCAGCTGCAAAAGAAATTCTGCCTCATCAGCTCTAATAAACTGAAACCCCGAAAAGAAAAATAGAGTCCACTTACCAACTTGTGAAGTAAGTCATCTTTCTTACTGCACTGAGAAAATGAAGTCCAACTTTTGATTGTTTCAGCCACTTTTAATAGGATGCCTCTCTGAAGGAGATGAATGACATTGTTTGCAATTATTAACCACATAAACAAAAGGATAAAACGGAATTTGTCTTTAAAGTGTGTGTGTGTGTGCGCGCGCGGGCGCGCACGCTTGCGCCATCATGTTGGATCTGACTGGTACCGGAGGAGATTGCCCTTCCTTCTCCAGCAGAGCATCTGTTGGATTCAAACTGTGTACCTCTGGGATTGCAGTGCAGCTTCTTGTCACTAGGCCACCAGAACTCCCCGAAATAAAACAGTTTTTATTAGAAAAAGAAAGGGAAAGATCCACCCAGGTTAAAACCTTCTCGTATGTCTCATCTTCTTTATTCCCAAATTTAGTTATTTCTTACACCCACCTAGAGATTTTAATTACAAATACATTCTAGGTCCCCAAAGTAAAGATTTTCATTTTACTGGGCATGAGATGAGGTCTAGATATCTGATTTCTTAAGAAAGTCAGAACTCATACTTGATGCATTACATTTATCTTGGAAATGCTATGTCAAATAGATTAACAAATTTATTAGAGAGTTTAAACTATAGGGTTTTCAAATATTAAGATTATTACATTCCAAAATACAAGACAAAAAAATCCATTCATTCATTTGGAAAAATTGTCATGCATTATAGCAAAAGTTACACTTTCACTAAATCAATAAAAATTATTACTGAATCAGCCAAAATTTAATTTACCTAAATAGTCTATTTTCTGATGATGTCAGTAAAATGGATATTTTATTATATATTATTTCATCATTAATTCTACCTTTCAACTTTACTTGCAATAGATACATAATAAGGTTATTAAGAGTTATTAATTGTTGTTGCTGTTACATGCATTGAGTTGCATGTGACTCAGAGTTATCAACAGTTAAGGTAAAATTGATAAAAACTTGTGAGATATTCCTAACCACATTCTGGTTCTCATTCAACTAAAACATCCATGGAATGATTTCTTATTCTGGGTATTCTAACGGTCATGGGAATCAAGATGAAGATATATAACTGCTGGGCTTTTAAAAAAATACTATAGGGAAGACAGTATAAACATTTGAAAAAAAGTGTACTCTTTTTTATTCCTTTTATTGTGATTTTAATGAAAGTTTATATAGAATTTGGATTTCCATTCATTCATTGTTGCACATTTTCCTCCCTGCCCCATCCCAGTTAGCTTTTCTCTCTGGAAAAAAAAATTCATTGTTGTACCATTTGTCACCCCAACCCCAGTCCACTTTATTATCAAGTTCTTATTCTGGACTGTTATCATACAAATGATAACTAATCATATATTCCTTTTAAGCAGTTTTTTCCTTCAACTGTTTCAATGCAGTGTGCATTATTTATCCTCTCTTCTCTTAGTTTCCATCCAACCCTGATGTCAGTCCTGATTTACAAGTGTGGCATTATTCACTATTTTTTCTTTTGTGACCGAGGTATTTCACTCGACATAATGTCCTCCAGGGTCACCCATTTTGTATAATATTTCATGAGTTCCTTGTTTTTCAGTGCTCTATAGTATTCCATTGTATGAATACACCACAGCTTCTCTATCCATTCATTTGTTGATGGGCACTTGATTTGTTTCAAACTCTTTGCTATTGTGAACAAAGAAGCAATAGACATAGCTGTGCATATATCTGCTTGGGTGGCAATTCTGGTTTCTTCCGGGTATATTCCCAGTAGTGGAACTGCTGGGTCAAAAGGTATTTCGCTTTGCAACTTTTTGAGAAAGCGCCATACAGCCTTCCATTGTGGTTGCACCATTTTACACTCCAGTTTCTCCACAACCTCACCAACATTTGATGCTTGCTGCTCTTTTGAATTTGCTATTCTTACTGGGGTGAGATGATATCTGTCTCATAGTTGTTTTGATTAGCATCTCTTTTAGAGCAAGGGATTTTAAACATTTATGTGTTTGTTTGTCACCTGAATGTCTTCTCCGGTGAAGTGTCCGTTCATAAACTGTGCCCATTTTGCAATTGATTATCTTTATCTTGTTGTGGTGCTTGAGTATTCTATAAATTCTAGATATTAGTCCCTTTTCAGGCATGTCATTACCAAATGTTTTTTCCCAGTCTGTGGCTTTCCTTTTTACCCTGTTGGAGAAATTTTTTGATGTGCATAGGGATTTGATTTTTAGAGGGTCCATTCATCTATTTTATCCTCAAACATTCAGAGAAAAACTGTTACTAATTCTACATAAACTATTTCAGAAAATAGAAGAAGATGGAATTCTCCCAGAGTCATTCTATGAAGCATACATATCCTTGATACCAAAACCAGGAAACGACACTACCAAAATAGAAAATGATAAGCCATTATCTCTCATAAGCATAGAGGAAAAAATCCTGAATAAAATCCTGGCCAATAGATTCCAATGATACATCAAAAAATAATTCACCATGACCAAGTGATATTCCTAACAGGTATGCAAGGATGGATGAACATAAGACAAGCCATCAGTGTAATTCATCACAATAACAAAGCAAAGAACAA